CTAATAACTTACCACGAAGTTTATTTACCTATTCTACACTTACTCTCTTCTATTCTTTAAATTATTGATTCTATATCCGCTCACTATTAATTCTTTTTTTATTCTATTTAAGATCTAGAGTTAATATCACAAATATACTATATAGAAGACCAAATAAGAAGTTGAATAAAAGAGTTTAAAAAAAAACTAGAAAAAATTTGATTAAACTAGATGAATATAAATCAATACCAAGAATGGTGAGCTAGAGCTTCAAAAGATGTCTTGTTAAAACTAAAAATCCCTTCAACTTCGATTCTAATATATATGAGGTATTAAGAAGCTTTTCAAGAAGTTTCTATGTTGCTTGGAGACATAACAATCTTAGCAAACTTCTTGAGAAGTTTTCATGTTGCTTAAAAATATAGATACCTTAAGAAGCTTCTTAAAAAGTTTTCATGTTGCTTAAAAATGAAGCAACCTTAAGAAACTTCTTAAGAAGTTTTCATACTCTTTGAAGATGAAGCAATTATAGGAAGCTTCTTGAACAACTTTTTTAATCTTCTTAACACTTTTTAGAATTTATTAGAATATTTTAAGAACCTTTTAGAATCTTCTAAAATATTCTATTAGAATATTTTAAAATCTTTAAAAACTCATATTGAAATATTTTAAAAATCTTCTAGAACCTGATGAAATATTTTAAAAATATTTTTAATATCTTCTTGTTGGATGTTAATAATATTACCTCTCTTTTTAACTTTGAGTTCCATAAAGAGCATTGATTTCATATTTGCAATAGAATGATCAAAATTCAAGCGTTATCTTCAAGGTTTTTTTATTTGAGTTGACTGTAATATAGGCATTTGTTCCTTTGAGAAGATCTAGCTTCATCTTGAGGATGAGCTTACAAAAGTTGCAAGATTTGTAATAGTTGATCTAATAGCAATAATAAAGAAAGCTCCAACTCTAGTTATATTTTGAGATTCATGATTTAAAGACTCTCTAAATACTTTCTAATTTATTATATTAGATCATGAATTAGATACGTTAAATTTTAAGATTGTTGAGAACAATACTTATTTTATTTGTTGTATACAATATTATAATAGTATTTTTATAAAAAAATCATTCTAAAATAGGTTTAGATTTATGGAGATAGCATTAATGAAACTCTTGTATCTTTTGTAGCATATTAAATAGATTTTTTATTAGTTCCCATATATGTTCATTGATATTGGAGCTTTAACAATGAATAAAATATTCTAACTTATTTTTTCTTTGTTGAGAATCAAATACCATTTTATATCTCATATTCCACATGACTATCTATTTCAAAGTAAGATCATGATGGTTGTATTCTTCCTAAAATAGTTGATTCTATATATGCCTCTAAGAAGGAAACATGAAAAACTGGATGTACTTTCATGGATGTGGGTAGTTCCAATTGATAAGCCACTAGATTGATTTTCTTTTGAATACAAAATGGTTCCAGTCTTTAATAGTTTAACTTATTGCAAGACTAATTGATCTTAATATTTTTTCAAAAAAATCATATTTTTTCAAAAAAATCATATTTTTTCTCTAATTTAAAAAGTAGGAATTTTTTTTCTAAATTTATTTCAAGATGCTTTTTAAAAATCTTGAACTACTTATAAATAGAGCTTTAAAGTTGTATAGAGTTGTAATAATTATTTTACAAGATCTTCAACTACTAGTTTTTTTATCTTTTAATGTACTTAATAAATCAAGCTTTGAATGATAATCATAATTGGTATAAAATAGTATTTTTTGTATCAAAGCATACTATATTTTTATTATAAGAAGCAAACTCTACTAATGATAAATATAAGATTTAATCATTTTCTTGATAGTTGATGATACATCGCATATATTGTTCCAAAACTTAATTGACTTGTTTTATTTGACTATTGATTTGAAGATAGAAGATAGAATAAACTTTCATATTTACTTTCATTATCTTAAAAAAGAATTTTTAAAATTTTGATATAAATTAAGGTCTTTGATAAAAAAATGATATTATCAAGTAGGCCATGATATTAATGTATATTGTCAAGAAAGAGCCTAGTCATTTCTTCTTCAAAATTTGTTTTTTTGTATAGGACAAAATATGCTATCTTTATAAGTTAATCCACAATAATATTGGTAGCATCAAATATAGCCAATGGTAGGAAATCAATGATGAAATCTATTGATATAAAAGACTATGGTTGCTATAGAATTGGTGGTAGTTGTAGAAGTCCATAAAGATGATGTTTAGAATTCTTGGATCTTGAATAGATATTATACAAGACAACAAAGTCCTTTACAATCTTCTATATTTGAGGCCACTAAAAATCTTCAGAAATAAGCTCTAATGTTTTGTTAAATCCAAAATATCTTGCAACTAAGAAATCATGATAAGATTCAAGAATACAAAGTTGCATCCATCCTTTTAGAATATATAAATGATCTTTAAAATATAAGAGATCTTCCATGAAATTCAACTTATTATTATTAAGGCATTGCTTGATATTATAAACTAATGAATCTTTAATTAATAATGTACAATTTTTTTTTTTAAATTTTAATCAATAAGTATAATTATAGAAGATGTATAAAGATGAAATTGTTTTAGCTTCAAGATTGTGATATATCATTGATCAAATGTTGCTTATGTAAGCTTTAGAGTAAGATTTGATATCATTGATAATAGTCTTTGTTACTTTCTTGGTTGATATGTAATTACAAAATCAAAATAAGATAATAATATATTCTAATAAGCTTAGTGGAAATTGAAAATCTGAGTTGATATGATATACTCTAAGTTTTTCTGATCTATATGTATGGTAATAAGATATGTAGTGCCTTCCAACAAATGACGCCATTTTTGAAAAGAATCTACAATTGCAAGAAGCTCTTTATTGTGAATCTTATCATTGAACTTTGCAGTTGTAAATATTTTAGAATAGAATGGAAGTAGGTGGAGCTTTCCATCCTTTTCCATTTGTGATAATTTTCAATGGAAAATTAGAATGAAACGAGATTAAATTTTCTTAAAGATCTAAAACCCTTCCAGTTTATAGTAACACAAATTCTATCACAAAGTAAGAAAAAATAGACCAAAACAAAACTAAACAGAACTAAACCGAATAGAATATGAAAGACAAAACAAAACAAAAGAAAATAGAAAAAAATTGAGAAAAAATTGCAAACCAAACTTTACTGAGAGAAAAGATCCAAAATCATACTTGATCAAATGCTCCAAATGGCCTTGGTTAGACCTATTTATCTTTATCCAACCATCCTAGAACTTTCTAAAATTTCTTTAATGGTGGGCCCTACCAAGATAACCACCTTTCTAAAAGATTGATTTAGGTATGTGGTTTTGTACCTTAAGATCTAATGTCAACCTAGATTCACAACCAATCCTCTTTATATATCAATATCTAATTTATCTAAGTAATTTTTGCTAAAATCTATTATTTATTCCTATCTTAAAGTGTCTACAATATATAATTTACTAATCTATTATGATTTTTTTTGATATGATTCGAGTTGTAGATTGCACTTAGATATCACTTCTTAAAATGTAATGAAGGTTTCTAGAGATCCATCAGATCTCCAAAAAGAGCAGCAGCAAAATAAAGACCTCATGAAGGAAGATAGTCAAAAGCAAACAAAACAAGTCCAAAATCAAACCTTAGCTTCAAAAATAGGCTTGTAAGCTCAGATACTTATAAACTTGACTACATTATAGACTTTGGTAATAGGTTTAGAAGTCCTACATCAATATGTCATATCATTGAGCTCATGTGATTGGAGTAATGGACAGGCAACCTTGATTGGTTTTGTTGAACTATATCAAATTCAAGTAAAACCTTCCACAGTGTTAACAAACAACTACATATTAAAAAGATATCAGGAAAAAGATTGATTCTAAGTATTGATTTGCATTTCATAACATGCATGTCAGATATTAAGTTGAAGTACATTTTGTGCTTTTATTCCTTTTGCAAACAGTTTGACAAGAATAAAGTGGTCATGCAACACAAACCATTGTAAGCATGTGTAACCTTTTGCAATATTGTGTGCTTAGTTCGTAAAATGATACTTCAACAAAACCATTTTGTAAGACACATTCAAGATAGTCATGTTAGATGTGGTCTCCAATTCAGTAATAACCTGGATGCACTTCCAGCACAATCAATTTCGCTAGCAATAGGTTTAATGACAAATACTTGTGTGCCAATAAAAATCAAACAAAGACTCACTTTGCCGCATACCACTTGGTAATCACAAAATAGTTTCTGGGCTGAGGCTACGAGCACACCCTAACTTGCTGCAAGCACACCTAATGTAGTTATGTGCACACCCAAAACACGTGGAGGGTAGTGATTAGTTGGGTGTTCTAATGTGGATCCATGTGAACCCACAAGTGCGAGGGTGAGGGGGGCAGCGGGACCACCGGAGCCCCTCTCCGGTGGTCCCGCTTACCGGTCAGCCTCCGGAGGCGCTGCCCCAGGAAAAAAAATTGAATTCACCGGAGTCCATGCACAGAAGTGAAGAGGCGTTAAGCATTCCAGGCGGTTTTCCACGTCTCTGAAATGCAGTAGTAGCTTCAACAATTCCGAGACAACAAGCACAGAAGTGTCTCGTTCCAGGTCGCGGATCCTCTCCATTGATGCTGTTGTAGGGGCAAATTTCAGTAAAATTGTTGCGTCCTGACATCGGTTTTGTCGCAACACATCAGTTGGATCAGTCGACGACGATCATGAATCTGCTTTTTGCTCTGCTGATAATTGGCGTGTGATCTTCCAATGCTCACATGGTGTACCTGAGAACCGGAAGAGTAGATGCCCGATTTTGCATGGGATTGTAGACATCTCCTTATGAAATGTTGCTCAGGCATGGGCTGCGGTAATATCCCAGGCGCGAGACTACGAAGTGGAGAGCCGTCCATGTCCTGAGGAAAGTGTGAGATATCCGGGTGTTTTCATGGAAAAGGGATGCTCTTGCACTGCCTTGGGTGGTCATTGCCACTTGGATTCTGCAAGGATCGTAGACTCTTCACTTTGATGCTATACGCCGAAAGAGTTAGACTGTCCCATTCCGAGGACCCACACGCTTACTTTGAGTGGCCGAGATCATTCGCTTCCCGGAAAGTGAAATTAATAAAGGTAACCTGACAGCTCTTATGTCTGGCCATGGTGTGCAGTAGGCTATGCTTGTGGGGGAGCTCTGGCCAGGAGCTTTTGGTTTTTTGGATGCCTAGACGGGGGGTTATATTGCAAGCGCTCAGTCTCTGAGAACGACGTTCGTCGTTGGAGAAGGTGGTTGTAATGGCTGCAGCCTACTTGCCTTCGCCTTGTTCTCTCTGCTCGACATGAGGCGCAAATCACAGGATTTCCGCCGTGGCGTCGCTGTGCGAGGTGGCTTTCATTGCAATGCTGCATTCTTTCCGTGCATCTCGACTAGTGACACTGTAATTGACGTTTGCTGAACATGTAGTAGCATCCGCTTGTGGGTTTCACTGGATTCCTCTTTTCAGGATGCTTTTGTTTGAAATCAGGCATTGAACCTCCACAGTACGCGTTGTAGAGGCGAAATAGTTTACAAGCTAATGAAGGTCCTGAATCTGTTGCAGGTGCAGAGGTACGATGGGAGATCGACTCAACATTGTCGTTGAAGAAATTGGGCTGTTTTCCGAGATATTCTCGGACCCATTTTTCTTTCAAGAAAGCAGCACGATGGCAGCGAACAGGGACTGTTTGCGCACGATTCGACTTCCGTGGGAACAACACTGAGCAGGCGAGAGAAGAAGATGCTTCCATCCTTATGAAAATGACAACTCTTGTCGATGAGCTCTTGAAGCTGGAAGATGATTTGTGCATGGACTCCGGTGGATGCAATTTTTTTTCCTGGGGCAGCGCCCACGGGAGGGGGGGCTCCGGTGGTCCCGCTGCCCCCTCACCCTCGCACTTGTGGGGACACAGGGATCCACATTAGAACACCCAATTAATCACTACCCTCCACAGGTTTTGGGTGTACACATAACAACATTAGGTGTGCTTGTAGCAAGTTAGCCTCAGCCTAATTTCTGACTTGCCTATGTAGATATACATGTTAAAATACCTGTTGATAATGTCCCATCATTACTAAATGAACGGTATGTAAATATATATACATACATGTAAAGACCAATACGAAGAACCACAAAAATCAAGTTATTAATATACAAGATTATGATAACAAAAGTATAAATTTCCACAGAAATCAACATGACATCTCCACACTTTCGTACAACTGTAACAAAGCCGACTAATATTCTATCTAACAGTAATCACACTAACTTGCAAAACTCAAAATGTTTGACGACAGTCGGAAAATTCTCTCCGCAGTTTGATAATTGTTCCAAAGATGTTATTAACTAGATCTCATATCTACCAACATAAATCCATTTCTGTGAAAACAATGCTAACCTACTCCACATCCAAAGTGTTGATTTCATTGAATTAAAAGCAAAGAGCTCATTTGAACAAACTGTGAAGCAACACACTCCCAACAATTCCGATACCACCCTTCCTCAAATAAGTTGCCAACCCATGCTAAAACCCAAGACTCAAATTATACTCTCCAACCGTCCAGACTGATCGAATCCAATTAAACTTACTCAACACGTGTAAACATGTACAAATCACCCAATAATCACAGAATCTGATTACAACACAATTCAACTTCTGCACAACCATCACGCCGCGTACCACATATTCAGAGTGGAGGTTACAATCCTGGCAGTGCCACCAAGACCGGCAACCCAACATCCATTGCCCGACTTCTTCTGCCTCTATCAGAATATGAATCCCATACTGAAGCTTGGCACAGATGTTGGAGAGGATGGTGCCAGGATGCTGCCTTTCCACAACCACCACAGTTGGTCCATGCAAAGAGAACTCATCTCGGATGTTGATTCAATCTTCTTCCCAATGAACGACAATGTACATGCTCCGCTGTGGAGCCAATCGATGCTTTACTTCGACGTGGCAACCCACAACCAATGCTTCACTTCATCTACATCTACACCTACCACTACTGGAACTGCTCATGAATCTGCGAGTGTTCCAAACAATGTGTCGCTACAAAAAATGTTTCACGCGCTCAGCCAGAAGATCCACATGACTGAGCTCAGAAACCTTCTCCCGACATGGGTCCCGGTGCATCAGCTGGGGATTGGAATGGGGAGCCAGAGCTGGGACCGTACGCCGGAGAAGCCACCACCGGAGCAGACATGGGCGACCCCTCTGGAGCGGACGCGGGGGCGTTGCTGGGTGCCAAGCTTGGAGCGTACTCGGGAACGCCATCGTACACCGCAGCGGGAGCTTGAGATGGGGCGTAGCCTCGCATGTAGGGAGCCGGCGCAGGAATGCTTTGAGCGTCCACTTGCGCGCCCATGACCGCACAAAGCACCACCACTGCCGCCAACGCCGCTACCAGGTGCTGGAATTGCTTGGCCATTTTGGAGGAGGGTCTACGGTTTCACGACCACTGCTGGACTCACACCCCTGTGGACTCGTGTGATCGGCGACGGTTTTCACGTCCTCGCTGCACGCTCCGATCTCCTTGAGCGGCACACCTCCACAAGAATCCTGGCCTCCGAAATTCGATCTAGAAATCCTGCGATCCCCGATGAGTCCGAAGTGTCCGAAATACTGCACTGCTCTCCTGGTTCCTGATGCGTGTACTTGCCGATGAAGTGACTTGGGAGCTGGAGGTTGTGGAAGACGGAGGAGGGCTCTTGTATTTATAGGAGCAGGGCCATCGTACCGGACGTGGACATGGGAGACTTTGTTGCGCGTGCGTCGTCCTCGAACCTGGTGACGGCATGGTCATGCCATTTTCAACGCACGCGGTAAGGTCGGAACTTTGGCACTGTAGCGCATGAATATCAAGGACTCGGTAAACCCCTCCGGCTGGACCCACGGGTCCGTGAGGAAGTGTTGCAGGCAACAGCGTTCGAGTGCGGTCGCCGCACTCATACGCCTTTGACAGCAAGCAGCAAAGGCTAAATGGATTGAAGCCGCTGGAGTCCGGGCAAGGGGCTTGGTCCTCCTTCGCGGAAGACGGGGAGGGCCGTGTTCGGCGAAGCTCGAAGTCAGAAGGGTCCATGCCGCAACGTGTTGTCATCCTCAGATCCAACATTCGTCGGTACGCTTGCTCACTGCCTCTGCTGGCGGCCCAAATGGGAAAGCTGCCATGGTGTTTCAACGAGAAACCATTGGGCTCACGGTGCCGATTTCTCTTCGTCGTCAGCTGAACTTGGAACCAACCTGCACGATTGCGCACAGTTCGATCTTGGACCACTGGATGGCCTCGTTGTTTCAGACTGCATGAGCATCGTTTCGAACCGCCTCCGCAGGAATAGCATTCTTTATCATCTATCAAGAATGAATTGAGGTAGTCAACACTGCATTTTTAATTGGACCGAGGAATGGAAGTACACAAGGAGGTGCACAACTGATGGGCAATGTACAAAACAGCAAGCAAAGTGTGCCAACTCAATCGTGTGGTATAAGGATTGAATTAAGCCCTTGGGGTGTGGTTTTCCAACATCGACGCCTTTCTATAGGAGAAAGAGTTGCAATGAAGTACTAGAGATCATAATTTGTATTACTCTATTGAAAATGCAAAACATATAATTCTAATATATTTTATGTGGACAACCTGTTATTAAGAAGTGGACCATGTCAAAAGCATAGACAATATCAGAACCAACTTGACAATATCAGATCCAATTTGATGGCCACTTATGACATATCAAACCTAGACTAGGTGCAAATATAGCTTGGTAGAAAGTTCAAATTTACAAACAAAAGAATCTAGTGCATTAACAAAAATAGACAAAAAACTATTAAGGAAGTTTAATAGGAAAATGTATAATCTATTATTAATACTTATGAATTTGTGAATAAAACTATAGATAGATATGAAATCTTTTAGAATAGATACATTCCAACATTGCTTAGTAATTGGGAGTTTAATATTACAAATATATATATATATATATATATATAGATACATATATATATATATATATATATATATTTACCTAAATAAGATGTGTTAGATAGAAGATAAATGTAGGTTGATTTGATATTATCTTGTGGCAAAGCTTCTTAGAAGCTACAAAGATATATATTTGACTTTTCATATGTGTGTAGTTGATTGGTAGGTTAAAAACTTGGCCAATAAATTAGTCACATATTAAATATGTTAGTAGTTTGTAGAATAAGTTAAGTATGTGGCACACATATATGAAACTTATTTTATAAGTTAGACATGTGTTGTAGGTTCTATAGATTATTATCATGTAGCTCCTACTTAGATAGTATATATGGAGAGAAGAGTGAAGCCTTTTTCACTCTTGTTAATGGCTTTTTAGTCTTTACTCTTATTTTAAGACTTTCTAATCTTCTTGTCTTTTACAATAGCCATTCTAGTTTAATATTATGTTATCTTTAAGAGATTTTTTAGTCATTATGAATGACATAAGAGTGTATTGATCTTTTAGATTTTGTAAAATTCATGTCTTTGATAGTTTGCTAAGAGTGCCAATTCATTATTTTTGTTTTGTTTTAAAAATAAATAAATTATTCTATTTTTATTATTGTGTTTTGAAGATTATAGACTACTCACTTTTAATCTAATATTTTAGTTTTCTAATGTTGATTTGTTTTTCTTAAAGAAAGTGAACTACTCTTTTTTGTAGAAATTTTTATTTGACATTAGAGATTACAAATTATTATTTTTTAATTTGAATTATAGATTTGTTTGAATTATCTATGGAAGAAAAAATTATAGATGCTAATTTTGATAGAAGTTAGAATAAATTTGTAACTATTATAAATCTTTAGGAGCTTGTCAATATTCAAGGTGGAAGTTTTATATATCTCTAATATCAATCATAGAAGTGATATTCTAATGCTTATGGAAGAGATTAACAATAAAGTTGAAAGTTTATATCAAAAATTTATAGAATTAAGAGAAGTAAGTAAATCAAGTTTATAAATAAATCCAAAAAGTCTTGCTATTATAAATATGATAAAAGATAGAAAAAATATTTCAAAGAAGTTTGATAGAATAAGATCAAAGTTTTGAGGATTTCTACAACAACTAAAGTTTTATCTAAATTTGTATTATTCTCAATATCCTAATAAATTTACTTAAGTTGAATTCATAGGTGCACTTTTCTATGAAATTGCTCTTTCTTGATTTGCACCTTTGATGAAAAAAGATTTTTTTTTTTATGATCTAAATTTATTCTTGGAATTATTTACATCTATTTTTGAAAAAAGTGATGAAAAAAAGGTAGCTAAGACCAAAGTTATATCTTTATAACAAAAATCATGTTTAATCATGATATATGCTTATTGAATTCTAAAATCTTATTTTGAATGTGGAATAAAATGAAAAAGTCTTTATCAGTCAATTTTGATATGGATTAAAAGATAATATTAAAGTTTTTATGTTGATAATATCACAAGAATATTTGTTGGAGCATTTTATTGCTTAAGCCATTGCATGAAATAATTGATTTTTTGATAGATGCTTAGAATAAAGATTTGCTTGATGAGGTATAAGTCAAGTCATGGAAATAACTTTTTAGTTTATAATAACTTATTCATCAAGACTAAAGCCTATACAAATCAATACAATATATTTTAAATTTTTTATAGAGCAAGAAAAGATTTGATATTGTTATTGAGATTTATATTTATATTGTCGAGAATCTAAAGTCACTGTATTATATAATGTAAAGACTTGCTTCACCATGCAGTAAGCACTTGGCTATAGAAGATAAAGAAAAGTTATAATAAGTCCTAATAATCCTAATAGAATTATGTATAAATTACAATTAAATCTAAATAAATATATTAAAATATTTATTAAGTTCAAATTAAATTTTCAAATAAATTATTAAAAAAACATAAAAAAATCCTAAGTATATCTTAATTGAATCTTAATCAAATCATTGGCAAATTCTAATCAAAGTCTTAATAATTTCTAGTCAAATCCTAGAAAAATCTTACTAAAATCGTAGACATATCTTAATCAAGTCTTAATCATATCCTAAAAAAATCCTCAACAAATCTTAAGTTAATTTTAATAAAATCTTAGACAAATTCTCATCAAATTTTTGACAAATCTTAAATCCTAAATCAATTCTAAACTTTAAATAAATTCTTAATAAACCTAATGGCAGATTGAGACCTCCTTAATTATTAATCAAACTATTGATTT